CATCTCAAACTCTATAAGGGGTAAAAGTAAAGTGAGCAGCCATGCTGCTTTTTACGATAATCATTTTTCTTCGTGGCTTTCCGCCCGTGTTTATATCTCTAAGCAATAAATTCCGTTCTGTTTGCTGTTACACTGTATCTCAATGGAACCACCATGACTTGCTTCTCTGCCCTATAATCTCCCATTGGACAAATTGACCCCTTTTCATGGACATTTGGGTGGTTTTCCAATTTTTTACTTTGGCAGACCATACTGCCATGAACAGCCTCCTACGTCAGCTGATCCCACATGCAACGGACCCCCTAGACCAGACATCGGCAAACGTTTTCCAGAAACGGCCAGTTAATAAATATTTAGAGCTTACGAACTAGACGGTCTCTCCTATGACTGTTCAGCTCTGCCCTCGTGCTGGGAAAGTGGCCTCGACCCGGGGATCACGAACGGGCGTGACTGCGCCCCGGCAAAACTACTGAACAAAACAGAACAGACGGCAGGCCGGATTTGGACCGTGGTCCCTAGTGTGTGGATCCCCGCTCAGGATGACTTGGCTTAGGATTGGAATTGCCGGGGCCACCCCATCGCACGACTCACACAGCCCTGAGGGGTACAGGCCATGGGCTGCTGGGTCGCGGGGCACGTGCACATTTAGCATTGCTGGGGGAGGCCAAACTCTCCCTACAGCGTCTTCGCAAGTTTGTGTCCCCACCAGCAGGGGAGCGGGGTCCTGGTCACTCACATCCTTACCAGCGCCTTGTTATCGGTTTTTGCCAAACTCTCAGGTGTGCAGTAGTTTGCATTTTACTAATGAGGAGCTGAGTCTTGAGTTCCTGCATTTCCGATGGCGACACTCCCCTCGTGTAAATATGTCACTTCTCCTTGGGCACTCGAGTGGCCGAAGCTCACGCTTCCGTACCTCCCTCTTGCCCCTGTTCCCCAAACCATGCTCACACACTGCTGAGCGAGTTCTTTTGGTAATTCAAACCAGGCCTTAAAACTTTGAAAAACCCTCCCACTGAGGAAAAACAGGCAACCAAGATTGGTGGTTGAGGCTGAGGCCAATTTTGGGGGGAAATTCAGACCACATTAAAACCCCGACAAATAAAAACGATGCTACTAGTGGAGAAAGCAGAGTGAGTGGCTATCTCAGGGCTTCTAGGGGCCCCTAGGTCTTGTGAAACAGGCCCGGCTGAGGTTCGGGGAGGTTCGGGGTGCAATCTGCCAAGCGCACAGGGTTCTCATTTCCACCCCAGAAGATCTTTATCAGAGTTATGAGTTTTTTTTTTAATCTGTCTTTTAAATTCAATCACTACATAATATTTTATTTGAAGATTTTTATAAGCTCCTTGAAAAGACTATAACTCACTTTTCAATATTAATTAACTTAACAGGGAGCCCATATAAGAAACGGTCCCACATGCTGCATGTAAGATACAGCTTGTGGTTAAGATCTGGGGCTGCAGCCAGATGTTCCATGTTCAAATCCTGCTCCGTCACTTCCGGGCTGGGTGACCTGGGGCTGATGCTACACCTCTCTGAAACTGTTTCCTCATGTGCAAAATCGGAGTAATGATTGAACCTCCCTCACTGGCTTAGTCTAAGGGTTAATGAGATAACACATGGGAAAAGCTTGCTGTGTTTCAGACTCAAAATTTAAGCAATAAATGCTGGCTATTGCTATTTTAGTTCTTTTTAAAAAACGCAATCAGAAATTCAGTGGAACGTCCCTTACATAAATGCACATAAACTCTTCTGGCTCAGAACCACTCATCTTCTATTGAAGAAGCAGGCTTGGCCTGGCTGGACAATGAGAGGCCAAAAACTCAACTACTTTCCCTTTTCGCTCTAGCTGCCAGGAAGCTGAGGTTCTGCAACCAGAGGGTTGAGAGCATGTTAGGGAAGGGGCATATAAATGTGAGCCATGGAGTGCACATATATCAATATAAATGCCGAGAGGAATCAAAGTGTATGTATCAGAAAATGTAGGAACAAAAACGGTGAATCAAGTCATTGTGATCAAAACATTGTAATTTTTATGAATTTTGTGTCATTGGGGCATTTGTCAGCTTTTTAATATTTGTGACTTGTTGATTTTTTAAATCCTAAATACATACTCACTTTTGCACTTTTAAAATTGCCTTCATAATTTTATATCACTTTTCTCAAAGAGTCCCCTCCAAATCCCGGATCGACTCCTGCGAGACATGGAAAAGTTGACAGTGTCCTTCAAATTGAAGCCGTCCCAAGGGGCATGTCGGCACATCGTAAGAGGATGCATTAGTGCTTTCCCCTGAGGTGCGACCTGACACCTGCCAGTTCTCACCAGTTCAGCCCCCTCTGTCACTTTATCAGGACTCCACTACTCTGGGTACGCAGCCCACGCACGTCAACACCTCTGAGGCACCACAGGGTCGACGTGTCATATTTTCCGTGGAATAACCGGCCTCATCCCTTCCCCGCTGTGGGCAAACAATGGCCGGCACAGAGGTGGCACCCCTCTGTGGACACAGGAACAAGGAACCACCTTCCTCCATTCCTGCAGCGACCTACGGCAAGCTGGCGGCCACATTCCTCTGTACTGGGATTCAGAAGGGGGATGCTGGTCACCGCAGTGACAGGTATTAACACAGTCATTAGGACTGGAAAATGAAGGTAGCATTCTCCCATCAGCAATGAGCCGATAGGGTTGGTTAGCTCGAACAAGGACCGGCTTCTCCAACTCAGTTACAGGGCGGATCCAGTCTCTAAACTGAATGAGTTACGTCTACAGCTCCAGAGTTTGGAGGCAAATACATTGAAGGGAGGTGACGAGATGAAGGCACTTATTTTTTTTAATGTATTATTGGAGAGATAGTGAAGTTAATAGTTTTAAAACTCCCAGCACTTTGAGAATTTCAGATGATACAAGTTACCTCTAAACGAAAAAATTACAAGTACAATGAATAATCATCTGATAAATCTTGGAAGGCCTTTCTGGAATACACTCCAGAAATTACAAAAGTAAATGATTCAAATATCGAAATAATGAATCTTTTTTGCAAGTCGGTGGTTTCCAATTCTGATTGCAACAAAATTGAAAGAGAGCCTGATAACCTGTCAACAAAACAGAGTCTTCTAAACGGACTCAGCATTGGAGTTGCCCGAGACATGGACGTGCAATAAATTATCGCATAATTTTGGTATATTGCTCAGAAGCTCAAAGGATTAAGATATCTATAGCTATAGATTTTAGTATATGTAATATTTACAACAAAAAACTATTTCCATCCACTTATTTATATGTACATTTTCCACTCTCTGACTTGGCATCTTGGAGAGGGGAGGCGGGGCCAATCCCGGGCTTCAGACACACCCGCCGGGCCGAGAGGGCCGATGGCTGGGGCTTCGGTGTCACAGCAAGGCGCTGTCCACCTCCTGGCTCTCTCCTTCGCTCTGCTGTAACTTGGTTTTTGAAAAGGCTCATCGGAGTTGCCTGGGACACAGAGCTGGGGCACCAAGATGGTGTGGGGCAGAATCGGCAATGTTCTTCGAGCTCCCATCCCCATGGAGGCCGTCCCTCTGAAACCCTCCTGGCCCGTGCTCCCCCTGGGCCAGTGGCCCCCACATCGACCCCATCTTCACCGCGAGGGGCTAGCAGAAATGAACTGCCTTGCGGATGACAGAGAACGGGCTCCGCATCTCACTTGACTCCCACAGGTTGAAGTCAGCCCCGGGACTGGGGAGGCTGATGCCGGGAGGAGGGCAGGGAGGGGACAAAGGGCGTTACAAAGGGCGCTTGCCAGGTGACAAACAAACACGGGGTGGGGCTACTCAGGGCTTAGCTGTGAAAACAGTTTTTATTCCCCTAGTTTTATGGTTTCCTCTGAAGATTTTCCCTTGTTTATCCTGCATGTAATGTGTACACGTAAAGGACAGACAAAATGACAACTCAAAAAAAATATTTTAATAAAAATTACTCATAAAAATCCTAATAAATTTCAAAGTGCGAGATATTTCTTAGTACATTTATAAAAGAACATTTGGTCCTTTTACAAAAAGCTCCCTTTTAATTTAAATACATTTCTTATTTCTAGATTAAACATAAAATATCATCTATAGTTGCAAAGCATATTGCACGTTACAGAGAGAGAAGCTTCTGAATATTTCAATAGGTTTTTCCAGAGTGTCCGACTCTAGATTTTTTTGTAAAAACAGATTTATCTTCCTTGTGCACAATAAATAAAAATGCAGTTTATATTTTGCTCTGTAAAGCTACAACAAAATACCTTTAAAAAATCTGATTTCTCTGCCTCTCAGGAAGAGAGAGGGGTAATGAGTCAGGAAGGTCCACAGGTAGAGAACACTGTCACCAGAGTCACATCTAAATGCAAGTGGGGACATAACCCTGAGCCCTGCAAATCCTGGCGACACACTGCCCGGCCTGGCCCTCATTTTCACAAAAAGGTCCTGCCCTGCAGGGAAGAGGCACGAGGGTGGAGCTGGATGTCTGGGGCGGAAGAGAAAAGAAAGGTCGAGGTTTGTTTTCTGAAGTCCCTGCTCAGCCACACGGCTGAGGGCAGCGGGCCGGCCCTGCCTGTCCGCCAGCGCGACCGGAAGCCTCTAGAGAAAGACATTTGCAGCCGTCCAGAAAGAGGGCGAGAACGCCTGACGCCGAGTCTACAGCCCTGAAGCGAAGGACCGCGGGGGTAGCTGGTGTCGGGGGGTGGGGGGGTGCTCAGGACCGGCCTCGGACGGCGCAAGTTGCGCGTGTCCAGCCAGGAACCAAGGACTCCCCACTGCCGGTCACCTGCAGATGCCGCCTGGGCATAAACACACGGAAAACGATGGAGCGACATGTGCCCACCCCGTGGCCCAGGACAGCCTCAGAACAGCGAGGTCCCAGCTCTGGCAGAAGAGCTGGGACACACCGCGGGAAGGATGTGAGAACAGAAGCTGGCGGGAAGGCCGGTGCGGCGGAAGGCTAGCAAACGCTTCCTGTCACCTCGTCTTCCAGGATGTGGACTTCCCCAGTCCCGAACCTGCCGCAGCGAAGCCCGCCCTGTCACGGTTTGAAACCTGGTGGGGACCCAGACTCCAGCACGCCCAACAAGAAGGCGCTTCCTACGATGGCTCTGCCGTACACTTTTCATCGGGGTGACCAAGGCAGACTGACACCAGCTACACAGGGGACGCAAGGCTGGCACGGGCACACGGCTGTCCTAAAGGAAGACGGCAGTGGGGGCCAGGCAAGCCTGCCAAAGCTCCCCGCAAGCGACTGCCTCTGGGGCCCCCGTCAGAACCCCCCGACATAGAACAGAAGGGACAGCTGGTTGTTGGCGTTCCGAGTTCTGAACTTGGCTCCAAGAGCCTCCTTTTGATGACAGGCGCTGGGCACCCAGGCACCACAGCGCCTAGACGGGGTGGGCAGCCGGAAGCTCAACGGCCAGGACCGGAGTGTGGTGACCCGCACCCCGGACTCACCAACCGGGACAGGTCCAGGGCCCGGAAGTCAAGAGGGTTTGAGGCTTGACACAGAACACATCTCGTGGGCCCAAGGGGGTGGCAGCCTAAGGCCAGACACGAGGGGATGCTGGAGCGTTACGCGTCAGCATGGTCACAAGAGCTGGCAGGGAAGCCAGGATGGCGTCAAGAGAGAAAATGGACGCAAGACGACCACTTTCCGGCCCGCTGTGCCCCATCCTCCCACAATGCTCACGAACGGTCCCACCTCGATTTTCCTGGAGAAGGGGCACAGGGACGCCTCTGGCTGCGTGCGCATGTGTGTGTATTTAAAGAGACATTTGGGTTTTACTGAGCCAAGGAAAACATGAAAAAACATTTACTATTTCCAAGCAAATTTCCAAGCAAATTTTCTATTCAGTAGATAAGACAATGTTGATAAAGTGCTTCTAGAATGAAGAAGAAAAAGTAAAATAGAAGCATTTACTTCTTTTATCTTAAAACAATTTGGACAGTGAAGGTTTAGAAGACGGAGGTGATGCATTCATTACTGAAAATCCCTTTAGAAATCTCAAAGAACCGAATTATATACATCAATTAAAAAAAAACAATAACATATTTTTAAGGAATAAAATGTTTCCCTTTTGAGTGATAATGCAATGGCTTAGATTGTGCTTATTTCTAGTTTTAAAAACACTAAAATGAAATCATTTGAAGTGACAGGTAAGTGACCTGACAGGCGATGTTGGAAGGTTTTAAGAGGCTTCCAACCCTTTCTATTGGGATTGATTTAAATCTCTGAGGTTCTGCAGAAGCCCGGGGAGGGGTCTGAATCCACCTCTGCCCTGCATGAGAGCTCCGTGCGGGTTCAAAGACAGACACCTGTCCCGCTGTCTGAGGTTCTGCAGAAGCCCCGTGAGGGGTCTGAATCCACCTCTGCCCTGCATGAGAGCTCCGTGCGGGTTCAAAGACAGACACCTGTCCCGCTGTCCCGGCGAAGGAAACAGCAACAGAGAACAAAGGCGGCGCTTCAGCTCAGCTGCCACCTTGGAAATGCTCGCGTCCAACATCAAGCTGAGAGGCAGCGACTGGTTAAGATTTTTCCAGAATCTTCCTAATCCCCATCCCATGCACCTTCTACTGTGGTCCCACCCTGCGGCAATATGAAACAAGCCTGCTAAAAACCACAGCAACGGCTGTGACATCCAGTGGCCCAAACGGAAACCACATAAGGCACTAATCTACAGCCTGCATAGCAGAGGAACGGCTCGAGGGTGCCAGAAGGTCGTCTGGTCATTTTTCTCTCCCTGACTTAGTTAATTGGCACTAGACACAGGAAACAAACAAACAAACAAACAAAGACAAAATTCTAACCGAACACGGTCAGAACGGAGGACCCTGGGTTAGTAAGTATTCAGCAGACGGAAGCGCAGACTCTTAGGTATTTTTCTTTCTCTAAAAGGCACCTGGTTCTGGAACTATCGGAGTTCCTCAGGTAAGTTCAAAGTGAATGTAAAGTACGTCCAAAAGGTCTACCTGGTAAGCTCTTAAACCGTGAGGTGACAACTTAAGAGACTGTTAGAATTCGCATAACACTATTATTCATAAGCAAATGACTGATAACACTGACAGAGCCTGGAGGCATGCAAATGAATACCTGGATGATTTTCCCCCGTGTGATCCCAAACCATGGATGGATATCTGGGGAAGAGCCCATCATCCAACAGGACAGAGGAAGGGCGACAGAACGCAATCAACAGAAATGCCCGTGCACCTCAGGCCCTTCGCGATTCCACTCACGAGCCTCTGACGGAGGTAGCAGCACCGTGTCACGGCCAGAGCCGGCGCAGGGAGACTCGAGCGGGGTCCACGGTGTGAAGCCACGAAGATCCAGCCACAGCTGCCCTGTCCACTGTGCTGCGCTCAGGGACAGTAGCACGCCACGGAAGCTAACTTCCATGGACCTTCTCACTTTAAATTGCATCCTTAAGGAAAATGGGTGTTTTATTGAACAGAAGAGAAACACTGAAGAAAGCAAGGTGCTGCCAGGTGTGGGTGAGGGGCAGGCAGGGATTCCGGCGGTGCCGGCGGGGACCAGACTCCCGTCCTCCTCCACCTGGGACGGGCCTCGGCTTGGCCCGGGCTCAGCGGTTTGGTTCCTGGTCGGACGTGGCCCCACAGAGCGGGGCGGGTCAGATCAGGCCGACCATCTGGTCGATCTGCCGCATGTAGATGCTCTTGAGGGGCAGGGAGTACCTCCTCTCGTCAGGAACGCGACTGCACTGGGAAGAAACAAGCGAGGGACAATGGGACTTTTGAGTTAAAACCCCACATGTTCACTCACAGGAAGTGCGGTCGGATGCCCTAATCCAGGGTCTCTCTCTGCCCGGGCACTGTGGGCGTCTGGGGCTGTCCTGGGGGCTGCAGGGTGGCTGGCAGCACCCTGGCCTCTCCCAGGGCATGACCCCGCCCCCTGGTTGTGACAGCCGAGACTGTCCCCAGTCATCGCTCGATGTCCCTTGAGGAGCAAAAGCACCCCAGCGGCGGAGCACTGATGTGGCGTGACACCCTCACTCCACAAGTGAGGGAGAGGGCCTCCGGGGCCCGAGATGTCCCCGCGAGCGTGGCGTGGCCGGGACCCCCAGCGGCGTCCTGCAGGTCCTTGGCCCACCCACGGTGGCAGAAAATGCTTTCGCTGTTTGGAAACACTGTTGTTTTTCTGAGTTTACGGTTCTTCTCATACACAGCTAAAACCTAAATGCTTGAAAGTGAGATTTTTTTTTTCTTTTTTGCATTTAAAGGCCTTTTTTGCCTTCAGTGGAAAGAGTTCGAGAGCCCAATGTGGTGTCTGGAAGGTTCCCACACGCTCCGTCACGGCCTCCCCGCAGGAGGCCCCTCTCTCGCTGCCTGGAACCGGGTCCTTGGCCGGCCCAGGGCACCCCGCCTGCTGCCTTCCGCCCCGACCCCCTGCCAGGACGTCACCCCTCAGGACCCCCTGAGAAGCCCGATTCTCCGCAGTGCTGCGGGCTATGCACCGCCCCCGACATTCTCCCGGGCTCCCCAGAACCAGGCCCGTCTCAGCAGCCCCGTCCCCAGTGCCTGGCGCGGTGCTTCAGGCCTATCACATGAGTGTCTCCTCCCGTCCCCATCCTGGCTCTGCCCGTGGCTCCACCTCTGTGGCCCCCTCTCTTCGTCTGTGAAATGGGGCCGTGGCAGCACCCGCGCTCCTGGAGCAGCCGTGGGGGGTAAGTTAACGTGCGTGAGCGCTGAGCCCGGCCGGGCGTGTGGCGCCGCGTGGAAGTGCCGGCTCTCCCTCCCTCGGCCGCGCTTTGCCCGCTGTCCGCATGCCGGGGCCTGGCGGGAGCCTGGGGACCGCTCTCTGCTCCGGCCTCTTGCACGTACACACGGCCGGCAAAGGCCTCCGAGGGACACTCGAGGAAATGTCCTGACTCGCAGGCCGTCTGGCGCAGGCGGAACTCCTGGCAAGGGCGGTTTTTCCTGAGCAGGGAGGTGGCACCCAGTGCATCGTGGGACAAGGAGGTGTGACATTTCGGCTGGTGCTAGGCCTTCCTCCTCAGCCTCATTTCCAAACCTTCTGATCGACTCAGCCCGCGATGCCATGTGGCTGCTGCCAGACCCGTGGGCCTGTTTCCAGGTCCCCGCACTGCCCGTCACCAGGCTGTCGCAGTGTGGCCCACCGTGGATGAAGCCTGGACCCAAGGCCTCAGTGGCACCTTCATAAAGAGCGTGGTGACGGACAACTGCCGGTTCCCGCTCCCGCTGCAGGGGCATTTTGTAGCGTCTCTTCGTTTGCCCCGTGGGTCCACCCTCTGCCCGACTCCACTCTGCTCTGGCCTGAGAACGACCTGATCGACTCTAACAGGCCTTCTGGCCTTCTGCCTTCCCGTGGGGACAGCCAACGAGACACTCCAGCAGGTCAGAGGGGAGGAGGAGGGTCAAGTGCTTCCCTTGCTGGCTCCCATCCCATGAGGTCACCAAAGCCAGCTCAGAGCAGGGTCTCCTGCCCGGAGACAGCCCGCCCTTCCCACGCACCTCTGTCCAGCTCTCGTGACCACTGTCCTTGCCAGCCCCTTTAGCCGAGAGTGACACGTCCCACGGCTCCCCTGGTGTCCCTGCCCCCTGACGGCATCTACAAAAACGGTGCTTTGTGAAACTTCTCAAATGACCCGGTCTGAATGTTATAGGAACTCTGGGTGACAAATTAGTAGGGTTTTCTCTTCCTCCAAATGCAACCCGCCCCTGGAAAAAGCCACTTACGTTGGAGCTGGAGTTGATGGCTTTGAAGTCGGGCGGCCTCCCATCCGGGCCCCCGTCAGGGAAGACGTCCTCCCTCCAAGGTGCCTCCCGGAGCTGCTTGTCCACAGACACCACGTGTCCCTCAGTCGTAAACATGTATCTGGTTCCAGATTTGTGCACCGGATTCTCCTCATCGAAGAGCTGGTGGGAAGGGCAAAAGACACAACTGGTAATTGCAGCGCATGGGACTGACTCACCAGGGCGGGCCGACTCCTCAGGAGAGAAGCTGCTTGGCCCTCAGGCTTCTTCAGTGACGAACGGTGGAAGGGAGTCAATTAATGACCGTGGTTCCCAACTCGGCTGCAAATCAGAATCACTAATTTTGCTTAAACTCAGATGTCCCGATTTACCACCTGCCCACCCCGACCTAGAGATTTGCAAGGCCGAGGACGACGACCCCAACTTGGGCAGCCTGGGAAGCCTCTGGATGACCCCTGTGTGCTCCCCGAGAGTTCTTGTGCTGAGATTCTAGAACCACCTGTGCCTCCCTCACCACCAAATGCTGGAGGGAGGAGGAGCGTGTTTTATCCCCTGCGGTAACCCCAGCATGTGGGCCACCATCGGCTCCTCCCTGTGTCAGGACACGGGCTGGGCTCTGAGGACAGTGCATGAGGGTGGGTGTGGGAGTGGCGGGGTGAGAGAGTCCGTGGGGCGCACGGGGAAGGACATCTAGGCTGGGATGGGGGGCTGGTGGGGGGCTGGGGAGGCATTCAGTAAATGCTGAATGAGTAGACACTTAGAAATCTCAGAGAGAAATCTTACAGTCACTTCAAGTATTTTACAAATGAGGAAAAATAAGACCCAGCGCTTATCTGTTTTTATACCACAAATGGGAGGAAAGGGGTGGGCCGTTTCCAGCCCCAGGCCCTGGGGCTCCGTCCACTCACTCCGGACGCGCCCTGCAGACACCTGTAATCACCTGCCACAGCCCTGGGCCGCACGGCATGACGCAGGCCCCGACCCTGAGGCACTTTGAGCAGGGGACCTGGGCACACGGGACCTGGCAGCAGGACAGCCGTGTTCCCACCGGCCAGACCGTGCGGCCTGCTGCAGGACACGCCTCTGCGGTCCTCTGTGGAAGGTGACGCCAGAGTCAAAGTGTCATTTTAAAGAATGAGACTGGTACTTCCAAAACGTGGTTTTGTACCCTCACAAGCCCCTTGTCAAAGCCACCGACTCCTGGGCCCACTTCCAAAGGTTCTGATGCAGCAGAGCCGCCACTGATGAGGCTCTGGGGTTCTGACCCGGCCGGCCCGGCCTGGGGGCCGCTGACCTTGGTCACAGCCCGCTCGCTATCTTTGACTCTCAGCCGAGATCAGTCACCACGCTGTCCCATCAGGAAACCGTGCTCCTCGGTGGCTCGAGGACATGCCCTTTTGCAGGGAGCCGTGCTGAGTACAGTGGCGACGTGCACACGTGCACATGTGCATGCGTGTGGCGGAGCAGGAGCGCGGGCGAGCAAGCAGGACCGGGCTCCCGCCGCAGCTCCAGCACCCAGGCGAGTCACCTGACCTCTCTGCACACTGCGGGATGAACAGTGACCCGATGGTCCCTCAGGCTCATTCCAGGTCCAAAATCTCTCCCTCCACATGCACGAGAACACACGTGTGGCCAAGGAGCCAGCTGGCCTGCGGGCCCCAGCCGAGATCACACGAGCTACGGACCCCGCTGCCTTCCTCGGAGAAGCCACCCTGGCCACCACGCTGTCACGGGCCCCCACCAACCGTCACCGCCTCATGCACCCTCTGTGACTGGACATCTCCCTGTTGACAAGGCCCCCACCACGCCGAGGTCACGGCTATCCCGGCCCGCCCCTGCGGGGCCCTGAGCCAGCGCAACGTCCAGCACAGAGCGGCGCCCGGTAAGTACACGCTGGATGCGGGGCTGAGCCAACGCTTGCTCCACGCGAACCTGGCCGCTTCCCGGGCCCATCCTGCAGCACACGTACCAGGTACAGGTATTTGCAGGTCTCGCTGAGGAAGAAGCTCTCCATCCGGTCCTCCTTGGACTTGTCTATGACGTGGTGCAGTGTGGCATACCCGCACCTGCAACACAGCGTCCTGTGGGTCCCACTCCCGCCCCCCACCCCA